ATCATATATTAAACAAAACCCTAACTATCCAGCTACAATTTAGTGAATAAATGGATATAATAAACAAGACCGTATTAAAATAAATTAAAATCAAAGTAGCACTGCCATATTTTGTCATCCCTGTATATTTACTGAAATAAAGCATTGTATAGTACAAGTTAATAAGTAATTAAGTGGATACATACAATGTATCAGCTAGTAACTCTCATTTATGAAAATGTTTTAAGTTTATAAACTGTAACAATAAATATAATAAGTATAATAATTCAATATAATATCAAAATATTCAATTTAATATGGTGACAAAAAGAGGGTAATACTATATTCAATTATTTTATATTTTGAAAAGTATTATTTAATTCAATTCTATTTACTTCATTGTAATTATGCATTGTATATTAAGTTTTAATTTTATTTTAAAATTTCAGCATTAAACTTAATATGTATTAATGTATTAACCGAAATACGAAATAAATTATTGTATAGTGCAAGCTATTAACTAATTAACTACATACAGTATATCAGCTAGTAAGTCACATTTATGAAAATGTTTTATAAACTGTAAAAATAAATATACTATGTATAATAATCCAATATAATATCAAAATTACTATTTAAATTTGGTTAACAACAATCAGATTATTTTATTTTTAAATATAACTTTCCCAATCAGAATAGTATTATATAATGACTAGACCCAAATAATTGCGGACAAAAATATTTTATTAAAAGTATAGGGTGTCACATTGCATTACAACTAATATTACTAGTTAATACAATATTTCAATTGAAAATAAATTGATTATATTTTGAGATTTAATGCGAAAATGCAGTGAATTTGTCAATGAATTGCAATACTATTGATTTGAATTCATGTAAAATAAGTGATAAAATGTTTTCCAATCAAAACACCATTAATACACTTAACACTTATCACTATTTTCACTGTTTTTGGCTTAAATGTCAGTACAAGACTCGAAATGAGTGTCACTTTAATAATCATAAATTAATTTATTCAAATATAAAACAATTTAAATGTCACTTAAAAACTCAATAAAATAAACTGTTTTATGATTCAATACATAAGTTAAAACATTCAAATAAAATAAATAATAAANCTATTTTCACTGTTTTTGGCTTAAATGTCAGTACAAGACTCGAAATGAGTGTCACTTTAATAATCATAAATTAATTTATTCAAATATAAAACAATTTAAATGTCACTTAAAAACTCAATAAAATAAACTGTTTTATGATTCAATACATAAGTTAAAACATTCAAATAAAATAAATAATAAATTGCTTTCCAATCACAATACTATTAATACACTCAACACATGCTTTCAAATCACATGAAATACTTTGAAAACATCTCACACAAAATAAGTCATAAGATTGTCTTATCAATACTGAACACACTTTACTTTCATATAAAACCTGTTTAATGCAGTAGTTTTATACCTGTACACTCCGCAATTATTTGGCCGTAATAATGACTTTTCAATGTAACTTGACTTTTTAATTAATAATCATTACTTTTAAAAATAGTTACAAGATATTGATAGTCCCACCATGGTCAATATAAAATTACCGACTGAAACAAACCTACAAAAATTATCCACCTATAAATGCGTGAACATATTTGAGCATAAATATGAACAAGCAAAACTGTTACTCGAATTGACACATTTCTCACGATTCATAAACACCGGGGATATTATGCGCGTATTGGACGGCATATCCCGGGACTCCCAACCCATGGCTGTTATTGAGACCCAACTGTTGGACACGTATTGGAGGCATAAGTACTTGTATTCGACGGCAAACCGGTTGTGGATATCGTATGAATCGCAACGTGTGGTCAATACGAGCCAACCCAAGGACAACCTCATTGGCGTCCGATCCATATCCCAAGGTATTTGATACATTTGTAACTAGGTTATATTTTATAGATATGTTTATTTATTTCTAGGCGGGAACTACCATTTCAATGAGACGACATCCCTTATGGAACTGAAGATTAACACTAAGTCTAAGCCTCTATTGCCTATTGTATACACATTTGATGCCGATATTGGCTATCAATTAGTGGTTGACTTTAAGGACAGTCAAATACCTCCGGGAAATGGATCTCTTCTAAAAGTCTACGATAACACCGACCGGACATATGGACAGCCACTCATTGACCTACAGTCCCAGACAAGCCCCTATATCTATGCCTACGCTATCGCCACAAACACCAATCAATTGAAGCTCGAGATCTATCAATGGGTCGACATTAAGCTAACTGTCCGCAAGTTTGTGGCTAATGGTTGTAATGCCACTGCCGGAGACAGGTATACCAGTTATAGTGTGTCCGGTAGTTGTCAGCCATTGTGCTCGTGGCTCATCCCTGGCCGCCTTAACACTATCGGCACCCGTATCCTACACTTCAGTCAACTCTCGATGGATATGCCTAACGATTACGTAGAGTTAGTCAGAGTGCGTGATAATCTTACCAAGCTACTCGTTGTTCAAGGTAATAGTAACCATAATACGCTTTGCATTTTAAACATTAATTTTTTTTATTACAAATAGGGGTGACCAGGTTACCTGATATAATGATACAATCTAATGAGACCCATGTGTTAACTATTAAAAGACAATGCTCAAATAAAACCACCGAGCAAGCCCAATTTTTGGTTGCATCGGTATCAAACTTGGCCAGGGACGTGACCACCAGTATCATCAAGGTTAATGATACCGTTTCTACAGTTAGATGGCAAACGTACAACTTTCCGGACAGTTATCCCATAGTAACAAACTTTGCATGGGAAGTTATGAGTACAAACTACACGGCGGTGAATAGGTGCCTGGTTACTTTTAATAATTTAACCATGTACCCTAACGATCAATTAAGGATTGCGAGCAGGGACAAATCGGTGCAGCTACAAAATGTAGCTAGCTTACCGGGCGATATGGTTCTGACATTGCCATTTTTGGCTGAACTTAACGCGTACCTAGAGGCTCAAGTGTACCCAGGCAAGTTAGACCTCGCTGGTGTCAGCGCTACGCTAACCCCATTAAAATGCGGCGGTGAGTACCAGGTACAAACTGGAAAACCGCTGATAATACAGATGCCCGATTCGATAATTGGCAACGCATACCGGTGCTTCTGGATAGTTACCGCTCCTAACGAATCTCCCTATTACCAAGGCAACCTTCTGGAGTTTGTAATAAATACACCAAACACTGGTAGCTACTTAAACGTATACGATACTAATTCAATGCGCGATACTAGCAGGATGATTTATGGTTATGGCTACGATTTCTACGGTAAACACAAAAGTTCAACAAACACCATGATAATCGAGTATACCGTGGGCAACTCTGAATTGAATAATCTCTATTTAAATGTCACTACTATTGGTAACGCTAATAAGTTCATCAATAATTATTATAACGTTGTAATTTATAAATTTTAATAATTGTTTTGTGAATCACCTACAGGGTGCGCCACAATGTGCAATAATCAGGAACGGTGCCTATTAAAGCGGTTTAAGTGCAATGGACAAAACGACTGTGGTGATTGGTCGGATGAGAGGTATTGTGACACGCCACAACCAGAACCAACACCAAGGACAATTTATGTGCACACTGGAGGTTAGCGCAATAAACAATAGTTCAAATAGATAAATTATTTCAAGATTTATTTCTCAAATATAATACATTATACAATATTTGGTAAATTATAATACAATTACATTGTTTATACACAATATTTTAGTAAGTGGTTGGATACTGGTCGGGGTGATCATCACACTGTTAATGGCGGGAATTGTGGTGTGGGTTGTGGTACGGGTGGCTCGTAAAAGGGGCTTTGGCTACGCCACACATATTGATGGCGAATGAGATATTATACGATTAAATTGGACCAGACACAATTTTAAAATCTGTTTACATTATAATATTGGCAACATTGCTATGCATACATAAGCATGCATGACAAATTATTTTACAGTATAATAAACTGTACTTTATACTACTTTTGTAAAGTTATACTGTTACATTGTGTTTATCATTTAGTATCATAATGAAATAAGTTTTATTTAATTATAATTTATTTAATATACTATTGTGTTAGACTACAGTAGACAAAATTAAATAAATACCTATCAATGCGTACGTATTTAATGAATGCCTTTTTTATTGATTTACTTTGTGTTTGTCTTTAAGTATAAAATATACTGTATTTCTATAACTAAAAACCTAAAGGTTTTACTTATTAATAAAATATAACCATTTTAACCAATAACTGAAAATTATATATTTATCAATTATTAACACATATTGACACACATATTAATTAAATTATTAACATAACATATCAATAATTATAAAATTTATTTTAATTTATTTTAAATTGTATAAATATTTTTTTAAATTAAAAAAAATCTTATTTAAAATTATACATAACTTGAAATGTTTTGATGAATACAACTAAATTTCAAATGGATTTAATAATTAAATTAACATTTTTGCCATATATGATTTATCAATTTTTAATCC